TATTGTTTGATAGATTGCTGCTAAGACTAAATTGTGAATAGGATATATATGTATCAGTCCCTAACATTTAATAGTTATTTTATTCAAGTCCCCTTAGCAAATACAAAAATTGTTGTGTTCACAGTAGCGCTTTGTGTATAGAAGTGGGTTTAAGTCCAGTGGAGTATATATATATAGTAAGATACGAGAAAATTCACCTTGATAAATCTGTTGGAATGAGACTCTTTTACTTTGATTCAGTGTTTCTATTTTAAGATACCTTTTCAGGCTCAGTCTTAAAGTATTGCAGTATATAACCTTACTAGTGTTTACTAAGTGTTAATGTTCTTCTTTGATTCTCGTGTATATGTGAAAATTATTTTCATTATAGCCTCATGCTTTAATAATGTCAACATATTAACTTAATTTGGCCTCTTGGTATCTGTATAAACTGAGTCACTTTTGTCTATTATCTCTAATGATCTGTAGCACCTAAAAATGAGGTAATGTTTATAATAAAAGTATTTGAAAAGCAATAGTCATGAATTTGATTTCAGTCCAAGTAGTGTTTTAACTTCTTGACATATATACATGCCGTTTCTACTTCAAAAAGCCAATTTAGGTGTTTTTAACAGCTCTAGAAGTGTAAGAATTTGTTTTCGTACAAGTTTTTATAGTTTTTTCCCCCCACTTTTAACTATGAAGATTTTAGTTGAGTGGATTATATTATAAGCAGATCGATTTGCTATGGCTACATGTCATGCCATCCTGAAACTTAGAGGCCACGATCACCACTGTTTTGTTTGCTGCTGTTTCCGGGGGTCAGCAGTTCGGGCTGCTCAGCAGAATGTTCTCGCTCATGCAGTTGCAGTTACATAGCTGCTCACCTGGGTTGTGCTCCCTAGCTTGACTTATATGTTTCTCTGGGGGTTGGAGCTTGCACTGGGCTGGGCGAGTGTCTTGAACACGTTAGTCTGGACTCATCACAAAGCATCTGGGATCCAAAAGCATAAGTAGGCAAGTGAAATGTGCAAGTACTTTTCAGACTTCTGCTGTGACCCAATTGCTGAAGTTCCACTAGTTGATAGAACCCACATGAGCAGTGCTCCGTTCCATGTATGGGAGACCAAGGAGGGTTGATACCAGGATGGAGATGAGGCCACTAGGCTCCTGACTATGTACTAAGTCAAATTACTGTGGTAATTGTACATATGATAGTTCTTAAAACTATTTTCAGATTTGTTGATCAGAATTCTTTAAAATTGATTTGTCCCAGGGCTATTCAGTGTCATTTGTTTCGTGACACTTTTACTGAAAAATAATAGTTTTCTGTCATGAATCACTTCCCTTGTCATTAAGTCATAACAGTCAATCTCCCTTCTGCGTGTATATACATAGATACACACATATACACAGGCACACACACCTCACTCACACATACATGTATGTATATGTATAATTTTATGTGCTTGAACATGTTATTGCTTACAAGTAATTGATATAATTACCCATCAAATTATTATGTAAAAACTTGGATACTTTATCCTTTAAATTTTCATGACTCTTATTTTGTACATGATGAAATAAGATGATGTTTATATAACAAAAAACACAAATACAGAGTTCTGTTTACTCAGTTACCAATTTTATATGTTTTCACTGAATAACTGATTAAGAATCTTGAGATTCTTAGTAAGGAATGTTGATTTTCTCTTCTAGTATGTCTTGGGAACCACATTTTTGTTGGCCTTTCCTAGTTTATCAGTTTTGTATTAGGTTGAAACATTTTCTCACTTCTCACTTCGCAGATTTTCACATATTCAGAGCAGTTTGTTTGCTAGTTAAGAAATTTTCAAGTCAATTGTGATAAAAGCCATTTGACTTTCTCTCAATATACTCAAATAATGAAGGTAGTTACAGAGCAGAGTGATTTTTTAATTTGGTGGTCCTTTGTACAAATGCACTCTTATGATTTGAATTTCTTTAAACAATTGTACAAGACACATTTTAGGGACCATATTAAAGTCTTGTGCCAAGATAATTAAGTGAATATTTTACACTTTTCATTTCTAACAAGTATAAAGATGTTTAAAATTCTTAGCAATGTAATGCGAGTTTATTTATAGTTAATAATGGGGAAAAAAACCCACTGTGGTAGGTGATATTCAGAAAGTGAGTATATATATATTTCTGTTTTTATTATTCATTTTCTCAAACATTTAAGAAACAGCTACAGAATATTGTTGCTATGCTAGAAACTGAAAATACTGGATGATATAACCAAAATCTCTGTCCTTGAGGCTTAAACCTTATAAACATGTTTTTAAAAAAAATTTTGCAAATGCTAAAATCAAATATGTCTAATATAACTATGAAAGTAGCTATTAATTTGTAAATAATGGAGAAATGCAAAAATAGTGGTTAAATATTTCTGATTGTTTTTCTGCTTTCTGTTAACCTGTCATTAATTTGGCTTATTTACTGTGAAATATTCTGGAAATTTCAAAGTAGGTAGCCCTATTTTGTTTCAGTCTAAGGCACTCTTCAAATGAAATTATTGTTCTTTTTTTTAATGTTTTATTACTTTGTTCATTTTCTATCTGGCATAAAAGTGTTACTCTACATACAACTGCTGCCCTAGTTGATAGAGTGTAACTTAGTTTTAATACTAATTAGCTGACACTTATTGAACACTTTCCTATGTCATATCCCATTTTAAGCATTACCGTGCTTTTTGTTTTATTTGCTCCCCAGCTTAACATTGTAAGGTAGATGTGCTTTACTGCCTAGAAACTGAGACTCTGAAAGAGTGAGAGGTTTACTGAAGGTCATGTGCTACATACAGCCATGGAGCTGGGAATGAACCCCACCTAGGCTGTCTAGCTCCAGAGCTCTGATCTATTTATTCATCAAAATAACAATCTGTTTTCATAATCTCCAAATCCACTAATCTCTGAAAGTAGAAACTTGTAGAACAGCATTATCAAGCATCATTGACCTAGACTAAACTGCACATATTTAAAGTGTACAATTTCTAAGTTGTGATGCATTTGTATAACCATGAAACCATCGCCTCAATCAAGATAATGAACCTACCCATCACTGCAGATGTTTCCTTCTGGTAATCCCCTTTCTGTTACTGACCTGCACTCCACAGTCTCCAGGCAACTATTGACCTGTCTCTGTTGCAGTAGATAAGTTTGCCTTTCTATTGCATATAAGTTGTAATTGAACAGATTCATTCAAGATGTATTTTTTGGTCTAGCTTCTTTCAGTTATAAATATGTTGAGATTCATCAGTGCTTTTTATCTATTCCTTTTATCCACTGCATATTTTTTTTAGATATATACCACCATTTGTTTATTGATTTATCTGTTGGTAGACACTGGATTGGTTCCACCGTGGGGGGTTTTACAAAGGTGCTCTGACCATTTGTATACAAGTTTTGTATAGATGTGTATTTTCTTTTACTTGGGTAAATACTTAGGAATGTAATAGAGAAATAACTGAAAATAATAACTAGATAAAATTGTATATTTGAAAGTTGTTACAAGGGTAAACTTTAAAATTCTCATTAGAAGAAAAACTTATGACTATGAAGTGATGGATGATGATTAGACATACTGGTGTGATTGTTTTGCAGTATAAGCACATATTGAATCTGGTTGTATACCTGAAACTAATGTGATGTAAAATGACAGTTACATTGTAATTAAAAAAATAAACTGCCATACCATAAATTGTAGACGGAAACATTCCGAGCATTCACGGTCATACTAGGTAATATCCAAAATATGTGTGAAAATAATATCCAATAATATATTACTTTCAAAAATGGAAAATTCTGAATTCAGGGCCTTTATGACCCTAAACTTTTCAGAAAGGTATCATAGGCTTAGAGCTTTGTGAAAGTAATAAGTACTGTGAAATGCTTTTTGCTTCAGTAAACATTTCTATGCTTTGTTAAAGTTAGACTAAACCTTTTAGAAAGACAATGCTGTCATATAAAACTCAATAGAAATTACAGAATATTACCTCTAGGCAATAGTGAGACCCTGAGTTATATGTATAGATGTTTTCATCTTGAAAATTTTCTAATTAAACTCTGTTTTAATGGGGATAGCAAATGTTCAATATGCTGTATCTTGCCTGTTATCAGTATTGAGAGCTCAGAGTAATAATTATCATTGTGTATTGTTTGAAGCTATCCTTTTGAAGTTTTAAATACTTTATTCTTTGAAAGACATAATAGGTAGTAAGTGGGAAAATGAGCACTGTATGATTCCTGTATGCTGTAAAAAGGACAGTATAGGTTCTGATCTTTAATAAAATGAACTAATACAGAAATGATCTGAAATTGTTGGAATGATAGTAAAATTTAATACATGTATGTAAATTACTATAATTTGTTAGTGATACCGTCTCATATAATCCACAAATAGAAGGAGATACATATTTCAATAATGGTCACTGCTTGCCTAGGCTTACAGATTAATGAGGAAGGCCAGGCCCCAACACTTTTGCAATGTTGGCCTGATGGAGGTACAGAGTATTGGGGTGTCAGTATCAGTGAGTTAGCAACTCTACTGAATCTTGAACTGAAGAAAAATGATTTGGGAGGAGGGTTTGCCTGAAAGAAGTAAAGAGCAGAGTAACTTAATTTAGTTATGTTGAATAACTCCTGAGAAATAAGGGTTAGAACCAAGGGATAATGTGGATATTGACTGATAAGAAATCTGTAATGTATTCAAAGTCATAGCAGATGTCATAACCAGATTTGAAACACATACTAATTTCGGAACTCACTGTCATTCTGTCTTCCATTCTATTTACTGTAAGCCCTATATCTGATGTAAGTTGAATTAGCATAATTGAATATTGATCACAATAGATAAATCTGATGGTTGTAATCATTTTTTTAATTTCCTAAGTTATATATGTCATGATTTAACCACTGATATGATTAATAAAATTTACTAGACTTTTTTCCAGTTTTCTTATTGGTGTGTTTCTCTTACAGGGTTACTTTTTGCCATCTGCCTTTCCAGAGTAAGTGGCTGTATGTGGGCACTGAACGCGGCAATATCCATATTGTCAATGTGGAGTCCTTTACACTCTCAGGCTACGTCATTATGTGGAATAAAGCCATTGAACTGTGAGTTTGAGCAAATATTCCGTATCTGAATTATAAGTGCTCTAGGTCATGATATTACATAACTAATCAGTAAATCTCTAATTAAAGTTATGTCATACATTTTCCTGCTGTTAAATACACATTAACCATTGAAGGCTTGCCATATTTGCAGTTTGTAAATCTAAGTGTATTATATATAGTATACATATAGATAGATAGACATGTATACATAGGAACATGTATAAGTTAAAATAACTGTAATGAAACAATTCTTATAGATGAAAAACTCCATTTTTTTTCTTTTATGTTCTAATTATTTTCTTTTAAATTCTGGTCATGCCTCACTAAATAGATTTTGTGAGCCATTTGTGGGTTGCCAGCCATGCTTGGAAAACACTGATCCAAGTCACTATTTGATTTCATAATCAGTGTAAATAAATGCTCATGAAGTCAACGGATCCTGTGTGAAAGCTAGCACTGAAGAATAAATTGGCAGTTAATTGTCCTTATTTATGATCTTTAACAACAACACTTGGTTGAGCCAAAAGGCCCTAAGCATTTTCAGCGCTAAATTGTCACTCTTGGAATATTATATTTGAGGGCCCTCCCTGTTGGCACAACGGGTTAGGATGCAGCACTGCAAGCTGACCTCAGCCACTGCGGTGCGTGTTCAATCCTCAGCTCTGGATGTGACCCACTTGGTGCAGCAACCTCACCTGACCCGCCCGCTGATCCCCTCAGCTGTGCACTTTATTTATCTGCCTGTTCTGCTCCCCACTCTGTCTCTGGTGAAGCCTCTCACAGCCCCTGAATCTCTGGCCTGGACCCCAGTTCTGGTGCATTAAAAATAAATAAATTTTTATGTTTGTATTTTTTCTTTTTATCTGTTTCTTTAGTTATACTATTTAGGCTTAAATATTTTAAGAGTACTAGTAGTATTCATTTTCAATGTTCCTTTTTGCTTTTATTTTCAAATAGTTCTGTATTGCACTCAAGAACTTAGACATCTCTGACACAGGATAAATTTGCGACATCTCCTCTGTTCCCCCCAAATTCTGTTATTCTTTTTTTTTTTTTATTCATATGAGGAGCTGCATCATTTGGAGAGTTAGCTTCACAGTCCTGCATATGCACATGGTCCCTGTACCCTCCACCAAAGCCCAGTGGAGACCTACTGTCCTGGTGGCACAATCATGTGTGGTGTTTGTGTACAGCTTCGGCAGCTAGTGAGCCTGACTCGTCTTCTTCAGCCAGTGCATTGTCATTACATCTCAGTGCCTTGGCACAGGATGTGGGTTTCTGCTTTCTGTTCCTTGAGTCGTTCTCAGTAGCTACTAGGCGGCTAGATCTGGTGCAGGCATCTTGTGATTCACAAGTTACTTATGAGGTGAACTTGTCTCTCAAGCCTCAGGGAGATGCTCATTCCTATTGTATTAGGTATCAATTTGGTCTACATTCCAATCTGAATGGAATTTTTTTCTAAGCAAGAACAGGTGGCATTATTTCATTAACTATTTTGAAACAGTTTTTCCTGTTTTGGTGTGACCAATGGAACTTGATGAGATGCACACTAGAATTGAGAAAAATAGGACTGCAGTAATTTAGATACTGCTTTATTAAATAATATTACCTGAGAGTTTTACCTTGGGAATGTATTTTCTCTCCTAAAATACTAATTGAAGATTTTTCGTATACAGAAATTTCACGTATAAATTTTGCTGGCTAATATCAGCACTAGAGCCACTTATTAGTCTTTTTCTCTTATTCCTGCTTTGATCCATGTTAACAACTGTTCGTCTACTATTAATCACTTAGTGGATTATATTCATCCTTTACAAATGTGTCTTTATTTTCTGTTAATATAACTATAGATAATTTTACTGAAATTGTAATTGAGTAAAAATAAATCTTACTTTTTGTTTTTAGATCATCTAAATCTCACCCAGGACCTGTTGTCCACATAAGTGATAATCCCATGGACGAGGGAAAGGTAGAATTTTTCCTAAAATGTTTATTTTACTTTGTCTTTGGTATTTTTAAATATGCAAACTAGTCCAGGATACACTTACTTAGCAAAGCTGTAACTCCTAACAACGTTTTAATTCATGTGTACCTACTGAAGCACATACACATTATAAAGAAGAAGTGAAAGGAATTTCATAATTTATAAATTTAAGGAACAAAAACCCTAAAACAAGTAAAATTTGATAAATACGGTTACAGTTTATTTAGTTTTTGCTTATTCATAATGTTTTCTCTCATTTTCTGATAAACCTGACAAAAAAATTTCCTTTTCGTTTTTAATTCCTTTTAACACTTCATTTATACAAATTTACAACACATATTACATAATAGTTTATTTTAATTTTGTCTCTGTATATATAACATAAGCTCAGAATTTTCTTTAATAGATTATAATGTGCAAATTCTTTTAATATTAATATTTTTACATTCTGAAACAGTTTTATACAGCTATTGCCTAGCTTTTATAAATTTTAGGTTTATCACTATATTTAAAAATAACAAAACTTCGTTTCCACTGATGTTCTATTTCCTAATGTAACCAATTTTTCACATAGTGCTATTTAAAAATAGCTTTTTAATGTATATAATTTTGTGGTATTCACCTAATACGAAGATGTTCATCACAGAAATGAATGAAATGAGATGTCTGGATTATGTGAAAAAGTTTACTTAGGTCTTTTCTTTCCTTGTTTTGTGAGGTTGATTAAGACTACATGTTGTTTCAATTGCTCTACAGAAAAACAAAATAGTAAATTCACTGTTTGCATTTAACTTATCATCACACAATTGTATGTATTTAGAGATTTTATGTGAAACAAGTTACAATAACCTAGAACTCCACTTTTTTTTTTTTATATAAATTAAGCATTTGTGCAGATGGCACAGTGGGAGAATTGGAAATTTCCCTACCTATTCCTCGAGTCAGTCACTAAGATATTTCAGTCCTTCCTTTACAGTGTCTCTTTTCTATTTAATCTTGTTATGACCACTGTAGTTCTAGTCTTTTCAGCCCATTCTAGAATAATTTCCATAGGAATCTATCTAGAGTACCCTTTTAAGTTTACTGTGCTCCTGCTCAGAAGCTGTCAGTATTCTGTAGTATCTAACAAATAAAATACTTTTACATAAAATGCAGCCCTAGATTCCAATGTCTCAGACCATCTTTATCTAACTGCTCTGTCAAAGCAAATACTATTTCCCAAATGTGAGCTCTTCTTCACTACTGTCAGGTCTTGGTTATGTGAGTCCCTCTGGTTGGGATTCTTTGTCACTGCTCCCTGTGCTGAATTCCTACCAACATTCTAAGGCTCAGATTTTTTAAATATATATTTTATTTCATTAATCTTCCCTACTATCTGTGACAGAATGCTGCTTGCTACTTCCAAATTCATTAGCACTTTAGTTGTACACTTTTACGCTATTTGTCATGCATTGCCTTGTGTTAGATGTTAGAAATGTGTGTTTCTTACCTGCCAAATCTGTGTCCAAGCACAGAAGTAATATTGATGCAGTTTGTAATTCCCATAGCATACAACATACAGTAAAATAATCATTATGTATTATACAATTTATTACATTCTAGTGAATATAGTAGAATATATACAAATAGCAACTCCTCAATATATACTTGATTTGTTTAATAAGTAAATCATAACTGCTTAGATAACTCCATTTTTTGAAACCTGGTATTATTAAGGTTAGTCTCCTTAAGTAAAGTGAAGATTAACCTGAGTTAAGGTTAGTCTACTTAATTTCCAATTAGTCTCATTCAAAATATTTTGAGATTTTAGGGTACTAGAATAGATTATATTGTTTAGCCTTTGAACTACATCAATGATTTTATTTCCAAATAGCTCTGTGACATTGTGTCACAAAAGAACGATACAGATAATAAGCCAAATTTTTTTGTGGGAGGATGCCATCACAGTAAGCAAAGGTCTTAGCTAAGGAAGCTTGGGCATTAGTGTAAAATTATTTATGGTAATTGATACTATGATGTCATAATATCATAACCACTGCTTATTGAATTCCACTTTGTATCAGACCCAGCTGGTCAGTTTGTATGCAGTATTTTATTTGATTTTCCAAGCAAATTTTAAGTTAGATATTTTCCCTGTTTTATAGCTGATGAGATGCAGAGATTCAATGAGATTATGTGTTTTAGAAGTAAAAGGATATTGGTGGAGCTGGAATTTTGAACACTGATTTCTCTGATTTCAGTCCCAGGGTGCTCACTCTTATTATCTAATATTTCCATCTAGTATGTAGATTAGTGATTAATGCAGAGCTATAAATCCACTCTTGCTTTTAGAAAAAAAAGGAAGCTACTAAACAATATATTAACTTTCCTGAGTTATAAAAGATTCTAATAGGAATAAGTATTGATAAAATTTTCTAAAGTGAAGTTAACTCTAGGTTAACTCTTGTAGGCACAGATTTCTAACACTTTTAGGATATTAGATCTGGTTAAAGGATTATAGTTCACTATAATAGTCTACGTTTATTTCAATCTGTTTAAGTAAAATTATGTCCTGCAAGTTATATGATAATTCAGCTAAGCAGCAAATCTAAGAGTAATGTGTCAGTTATCTTCATCCTAAGCACTAGTGTTGTTTTTACTAAATCATTACTATATCTTGTCTTTTCTATCTCTTATTGCTGAAGTTCCTCTTTTACTTTGCCCATCTAAAAATGCCATTTCATGTGTTTAAAATATTTGAAAGGACAGAGAAAAGGAAAAGGAAGTGAATTTTTCTCAGGAATATATATCCCAGATTGGAAAGGAGGAGTTGAGTTCCTGTTATCAAATGCTTACAGATATGTAATTATATCTTTATACTTATGCAGATTAATGGTAATAGTTGTCAATACATAAACATTTCATATAGTATTTCTAGATAATGTGTCATTTTCTTTTATTACAGCTTTTGATTGGCTTTGAATCTGGAACAGTGGTATTATGGGACCTCAAATCAAAGAAAGCTGACTATAGATACACTTACGATGAGGTAATGTTACCACTTTCACTAATTAAGACTGTTGTTTTTTTCTTTATTTCAGGGTGCCTTCTCTAATAAGTTGACTGGTGATTTTAGTTTAGGCAGCTATTTTAAATGCACTATCCAAAAATTTTCAAAAGCAATAGTATTTTCACATAGTTAAAGAGATACCAAATCTCTTGATATACCTCTGTCATTTTGCCATCTAATTCCTTAACCCAAGCAAGATATCAGTGTTGTCATTTTCTCACTTATTTCTCTTGGAATAGTCTTGTACTTATAAGCAAGTTAATAAATTCTATAGGTAGGATTTTTCTGGATGCTTTTCTGTTATTCATGGCTCTTTTTCCCTCAAATTTCCGATAAAATGAATAGTTTAGTGAGGCCTGATGAAATACGTATTTGTTTCAAATTTTAGCAAGACTACTTCATGTATGATGCTGTTGATCAGGTAGAAAGTTAAGTTTCTTTTTGTGACATTAACAGGTCACTGATATTCAAGACCTGTGTCTGTTAATGCATAATAGTTGTTTTAATCCTATAATTCTTTTTCTGTTACTTTGGACATTTCAGTTGAAAAAGTCTCATTTTCTACTTGATGATATAGTAAAACAATTCTAGTAGAATAAATCTTTGACTCACTTCAGTATTTGATCTAAATGGTTGTTCTCTAGTAATCTAACTGGTGACCAATTAGTGTTAGTTTTTATTTCACTATGTACTTACAGATTTAAACATTTGATGTAATTCAATCCCTTGATCTTATTAGTCATACTGCTTTTTCAGTCTTAAGTAGTGAACATCTTCTAAATTGTTAATTGAGTCTGTTGGTGATAACAGTCTTGAATAATGTTCTTGCTGTTTGCTCTAACAAAGCATATTTCTCATTTGCATATGTCTGTCTCAAACTTAGGTTAAGACCATTTTCCATGAATCTGTGGGGTTGTCTGTTTTTTTCCTTTTCTTTTTAGTGTGAAATGGTATCTGATAATGTCAATTTGAATACTACTGGTGTTTGCTGTTCATGAATTCAGTAAATAGAGCTAGAGCTAAGACATCTGTAAGTGATGTTTGTTTTTACAGGTAAAATATGTTGTATCTTCAAAATCATGATTTTGGTTACTTAAACAGCAATAATTTTTTCCTGTGTTCTCTTTTCTAATCTTAAGTGTTCAAGATTTTTGAATATATAAATTAAGTATTAAATGCCCTACATAGTGTGATGCTACATTATATATAAAACTATGTGCATATATTAAAATTCATCTCTTGAAAAAAGTAGGTAAAATTACAACAGTATGTCACATCTCATTTGCTTTGAACTAGACCTAGTCATAGAAAAAATAGTAAAAGCAACCTTAGGGCAAAAGATGAGAACACATTAAATGCAAAGGAACAAAGATTTAAATTATAGCACCTAGTTTCCTTAAAAACAGTGCAAGTCAGAACACAACAGAACAGTACAGTTATTGTACCAAAAGAATAAAATTGTCAACCTTTAGTTTTATATTCATCAGAAATATCTTTATCAGAAACAAATGCAAGTACTTTTATACACACACACATAAGTCAAAGAATAGGTAGATATAGGTTGATAGAAAAGCCTTTTTTTTTTTAATTTTCTTTAAGAGATAATTTTTCAAACCAAAAATTCTTAAAATGCATCATTGGCTATATGATGCATGTATAATTAAAGCACAAGCAATACTATTACTAATGTTAACTGCTAGTATATTGTCACATCTGAAGTCAGAATATTACTTGAAGGTTATACTGATATGATAATACAATAAGAGAAAATACATATTGTAAATGCTAAAGGAACAATAGTAACCCACCCACATAGTTAAAAGCAACAATACTAACCCACATGTAAAAACAAAGAATTATAGTTGTGTAAACCAGTGGCAATGAAACATAAAAAAGAGAAATGTAAAAAAAATAGCCAGTCCAAAAGAGGAAAAATGGGCTAAGGAATATGTAATTGAAGTAGAAAATAAGTAGCAAGATGGCCAATTTTAACCCACAAATGTTAATAATCATATAAAGTATAAATGGTTTCAAATTTTCAATTAAAAGGCAGAGGTGTTAAAAATGGGTTAAAAAGCAAGATCCATGTTATCTATAATAACCCATTTTAAATACATGCATAGATATTTTAGAAAAAATGATAGTAATTAGTTAAGACAACTGAAATGATTATATCATTATGAGCATAATCGATAGCAGAACACTCCACTCTACAACTGAAAACAATCTTTTTAATCAGACATAGAACATTCACCAAGATGGACCATATTTTGTACTATAACATCGTTCTAAATTTTAAAAGATTGAGATAATGGAAAAAAGTTTCTCTACAATGGAATAAAAATACAAATCAGCAATGAGAAGATTAAAAAATCTGAGTACTTGATTTTGAAATAACATACCTTTTAAATAACTCATGCATCAAACAAGAAATACAAGGTAATGAAATAGTTTAAGCTGAAAAAGGAAAAGTTATTGAAATCTGTGGGATGTTGCTAAAACATCTGCCACAGCATTAAATGCTTATATTTGAATGCAAGAAAAATCTCATGGCTTTAGCTTCTGCCATGAGGAATAGGAAGATCCTATTCCAGGTAAGATGAAATTGAAGAACAGAGATCAGTGAAAAAGATCACTGAAAAACAATATGAGAAAATTGGTAAAATAAAAGCTTCATTTTGCAAAGATCAATAAATTGCTAAACAGTAGTTTCTACATAAATACAGAAAGGCAAGTAAAAATATATGTACCACTGATGCCAGTAGATTGAGCAATTTAGGTGAAATGAATAAATTCCTTGAAAGTGCAAAAGCTCATTTCAGAAACCATAGTTAAACCTAAGTAGCTCTGCATTTTGCAAAGAAATTGAATTTTTAATGAAAACTTTTTTTTTTATTATTTATTCATGCACACAAGAACTGGGTACAGGCCAGAGGTGTGGGGAGTGAGAGCATTGATTAGAAACAGAGTGGGGAGCAGAACAGGCAGATTATTTGAAATACACTACTGAGGGGAGCATCAGGAGGGTCACCTCAGGTGAGACCTGCCACGACATGTGGGTCACCTCCCTGACCGGGAATTGAACTAGTGCTGCAGTGGCTGCAGATTGCTTCATAGTGCTGCTTTAACACATTGTGCCACCAGGCAGGGACACAATGAAAATATTTGACACAAAGAAAACTTTAGTATGAGAGATCTCTCTCGTGAACTTTATGAAGCAAAATAAAATTTATCAAAACAGTTACATTATTTAATGACCTGCCCTACAAAAGAAAGAAAATTGATAGTATTTTAAAATATTTTTGACATTTCCATGTAGGTTTTACTTTTTAATTTTTGTGATTTATTTATGATACAAGAACTGGGATACATTATGGACAGATGTGCGGGAGGTGAGAGGATTCATCAGAGACAGAACAGCACAGGCAGGTTGACCGAAATACACTGCTGAGGGGAGTAGAGGCAGGACAGGAGAGGTCTGCCACACATAGGTTTACATTTTAAAGGAAATGAGGGTACTGTCAATTTAAGCCCATTTGGGGGAAAAATGTGGATCCATTTGAAATCTTAACTACATAAAGAGAAATTGCAGTCAATTTAATATCTAAGGTATAATAATTTTATCAAGTTACAAAATGTATTATTCACTAACTATCTTGTTCAGTTACAAAGATTTGATGCTTCCATTCTATAGAGGAATTAATAATGGAATACGTGTTGAAATGCTCAGGCCAGAGCTATATAATTTAGTGTATATATACAAGAAATAATTCATTCAGTGCCCTGAGCCTTCTTTTGTTATTTGATTACTTGAAAATAATAAAAACAAAAATAGAGTATTTCCAACATTTGCTTTTTATGTATTTATAGGAATTATAATTTAAATTTAAATCTTTGTTAAATGATTTTGTTTTGTATTGTTGACTCTAAGGGCTTTAGCAAAGGTATATAATCACATTAGGGTTCAATATTGATCTTGAGTATAACATAAAGATGAATCTTACTTCTTACTATACAATTTTTTGTATAAGTGCTGAAAGATGTTTATTTGTATATATGAAATGGGAGAGCAGCTGAACTAAGCTTTTGTATACAACTTTTACTGTGAAGTGATTCTAATAATGATGGTTTGCAAAAAACAGTTGGCAGAGAATGTAATTTCCCTGCTATTCTAGTTAGTATAAAATTTGATAGGTAAATCACTAGCCTCTTTTCTTTCTAGAAAATTATTCTTTAAGATGCCTCTTATTTAATAAGAATAGCACAAAGCATTGTATATACTACTTTGCCAAAACCTAGTAATTAGGTACTACGCTTTGCTTTAAATGTTTCAGAGTAGGCAGTTCTTTATTTTTGTTTGTTTTTTTTTGTTGTTTTTTTTTTTTCCATCAAGACAAAAATACTAATGCCAGCCTCTTAATCCATTAACTGCCTCATCAAGTTTATTATAGTTATGGTTTCTTGTCAGACACAGACACTGTTTTTTAAAGAAATTGTGGAGTTGTGTGTTCTCTTTGTGGCTTTTGCCAATAATTCTATCACCCCCTGCCCCCAGACCCGCCACTTTACATTTTCTATTTTTTCTACCCTGACTTCGTCTTGTCTCTTTAACTTTTGTATATCTCTTATATATCCTTATGTTAATTTGTTCTGCTTGATGCTTCTTTGTATTCTCTTATTCATCTGTATCTGTTAATTTTTCACTTTATAAAGATCAAGGAGCCTCTTAAGAATATCCTAGAAATTTTATATCTTCTTGGTAAAGTAATACCAACTTACTTACAAAATTCATCATCCTCACCTTATCCCTCCTACTTCTTATCTCTTATTTTCTCCCATAAATTTTTCACATTTGCATCTTACCCACCTCTGATTATGAGCATGTGACAGGTATGGTGAGTGAAATTTGATCTTCCCACTTTTTTAACAGACATTTCTACTTTATTTTCCCAGGAAGACTAAAGAAGTTATATAATTATATGTATATTACTTATATGTATCATACATATGTATTTTTATATGCATAATACTACATATCCACCACTTAAACCTATATGTCAATATTTACACATGTGCGTATAAGCTTGTGTAGCCTGTGCATACTACTGCGTATAACAACATTAAAACAGGGACATATGACAAATGCAAGTTGTATTTGTATTTAGAAAGTTGCAGAAGTAATAGAAAAAAATGTATGTTGTTGCATGTAAAATTCCTATTTGTTTATTCCTTTTGTGGATTTTATATAACTTCTTTGTCTTTGTTATTAAGAATAATTGCAAGTGATTGGTTTTGTAACTTGTACTCTGAAATGCTTACTAGTTTAATATTCTCTTAAAACATGTCTTTAAACAGAGGTGTATGCTGTATTCTTCAAGAAAAGTTGAAGTATTAGTTCTCTGTATAAATTTTTTATGTATCTGATACACACTTAGGTGTGATAAGATTAGGATGTTTTATTTTAAGATTGTAGATAACAGTATAGACTTCTCTTATATTTCTCTTCTTAAATTATTTAAATAGCTTTCTATATAGTTTCTTAGCACTATTCATATTTCCCAAAAATAGCTTATTCATCTGTTATGGCTACTAAAGGATTGCTCTTTATAAGATTGAGTTTCTGCATTGTCATGTGTATATTTTGGAATAAGTTTGTCACTGTTTCAAGATGTTACCTAGATTTGTTAGAGATATTTTGAACATGTGTTAAATATGTTAAATATGTGTGTTAAATAGTAGCACATAGAAATACAGTTGATTTTCTTTATCCTTCATCACCTAAAGTTTTTTAATTTGATTCATAATACTATTTTATTGAACTTCAGTTTGTAAACATATGAAGAAATCAAATAATGGATGTTGCGTGCGATGTTAGCAAATGTTTCTGTGCATAAGCAAAATTCTTAACATGATTGCGTGTTTTTGATGTTGCCCCTTGCAGTTCTGATATTCCAGTAGGGAATGTCAATAGACCGTAAGAACTAGAAGGGTGTCAATTTCAGTTAAAAAGTATTTAAATGGTAGTAAAGTAACTTAAAGGAGAGTGATTTTTTAAAAAAAATATATAGACAAAATAATTGCTATTAGGACAAATAATTTTAAAAAGTAATTTTACTTTGATCATATAAAATGTTCCCATATTATTTTTAAGTGGCTTGAAAGTACAAGATAAGGTTTTGGTCAACTGAGGGTCCCTTCAAATCTAAAGCATTACCTCAGTAATTATTGTGAGAACCAGCGATGTTTTGAAGCTTAACCAGAGGTAGTTTTCATTCATCTTAATTCCAAGTCAACATTTTTATTTTCTTAGAATTTTAGCTACTTTTGAAAATTTTTTTCTAATATTCCAAAGCAGCTAGTTTAACTATTTGATTGTAATGTAATTTAAGTATGATTTATGATTCATTCTTTAAAAAACTCAAAGATTAATTTTTTTTTCTAAATTTGTACGTAAAGCTTTTATCACTACATATTTTCCTTATGTTGGTTTAAGGAGTAAATAGAAGAATTAAATGTGCTTATATCAAATTAAATTTCATTTGTATTGCCAGATTATTATTATGGAATTATAAGGTTAATACATTGACTTTAGCTTGGGAAATATTAAAAAGTTTAAAATGAAAATTAATTACAATATTAGTTATAAGTAGCTCAGTACCTAAATCAACTGTATTTAAGGTGGAATTCTTCACACCTCTTCTGTAGGCTATCCACTCTGTTGCTTGGCATCATGAAGGGAAACAGTTTATCTGCAGTCATTCAGATGGCACCTTGACGATATGGAATGTGAGGTCTCCTGCCAAGCCTGTACAGACAATCACTCCACATGGTAAGAATGTATCAGCTTTGGACACTAAATTTTGATAAACAGAAGACATTTTGAGTTTGTATTTGAATTTCTGTGTTTTTGAGTTGAAATATTTTGTTTTTTCATTTTGAGGAAATTAAAAATAATTACATAATATAGCAATGATATATAATAGCCATGTAATAAAATCTGTAATTATATTTACAGTTGACATTACATATTTGAACTTTGAGAAAAGGAATGCTAGGCTATCTTCTAAATGTTGTCTAGTAGTTGGAAAAGTAATAATTTTGTGACTTATCTGTGACTTAAAGTTTCTGCCATCTTGAAGTTGCTCATGTATTTATAAGTGTATTGAAGCACTTGGAACTCTGTAGCAGTTAGTTTTGTACATTAAATTGTTGTTCTGAGTATCCCCAACATTATCCTGGGTGTAATGATTCACTAGGAAGCCTAAGAGAATGCAGCAAAGGATGCAGAGCAAATCAATGAAGGGAAAAGGCATGTGGGTTGAAGACTGGATGGAAGGAGCCTCAAACTTCTGAGTCCCAGGGGAGTCCTCCCAAAAGGACATGTTAATTCTTGGAGAGATGAGTGAAATTTGTCTACCAGGAGCACCCCTGAGTCTAGGAGTTTATTTTTTTACTGGAGTCACTCTGTACACAGGTGTCATCTGCATTATCACATGCCAAAATTACAGACTCTCAGAAGGAAAGCACGGTTTGTCATAAATTGCCTTGCTTGTAGGTACAACTAGGGCCCAACGTGCTACCTTTATTGGTCTCAGAATGGTGGGACTATCTTGAAAGCCAAGTAATCAGATGCCCACCGGGAACCAATGCTTCTATGCCACCCTTTCTAAGAATAGCAGTCTGAGACCTGGTTCTTTCTTTCTTTTTTTCTGTAAGTAGTATTTATAAAACTTGCAAGGTTTTATTAATATATTTATTAACAGGTTATGAAAACCTTTGAATTTTGCATTGAACCTAGGAATTTATACTTCCTCATTAATGTGCACTTTTCAAACTTGCCCTAATAGATCTTTACCAACAAATTTAGATAAATAAAAGGCACGGTTCTTTCAGTTAGCAAGTACCCCTTGTAAGTATTGTCACTGCTTACTTTAAACATAAACGCTCCCATTTTTAAGAAAAATGATACATTCTGAATTACTACACTATAGGAATTAAAACAAAATAAAAATCTTAATATTGTGAGTTTGTACATGTATATACAAGTTTAGTCATAAAAATAATATTGAAGCTGCATATTTCAGTATGTTGCACTACTGCTTTGTGGTGGTGGTCATCTCCTGGAAAAGTACTGATTTTGAATTTATTACTGATATATTTATGCATCCATAAGATAGTCTTTGTAAGAGTAGATAGCAGGTTTCCTTAATGTATTTCTTTCTTTTATTAGTACCTGAGATCATAATGTTGGAAATATTCCTGAGAATCCCCATAAATATTAGATTTCCCAAACATACTGAAACATTTGAATCCTGAAAACAAACACCCCCCCCCCAAAAATTAAAAACCTTTAATTTCAGGCCCCTCCCTAGTGGTGTATCAGGTTAAAGCACAGCACTACGAAGCTATCCCAAGCCACTGCAGCATGAGTTTAATCTCCTGGGCAGGGAGGTGACCCCACATGGCACAGCAGACCTCTCCTGTCCTGCCCACTGCTTCCCTCAGCAGTGTATTTCACTCCATCTGCCTGCTGTGCTTCCCACTCTGTCCCTGGTCAATCCTCTCACCACCCTGCATCTCTGGCATATACCACAGTTCTTGTAAGCATAAGTAAACAAATCTTTCAAAACTAAATAAATGAAAATAATTTTAATTTCAAATCTAGAACACAGTGAAATTATTATTGAAGAATGTAAATATATACAAGTATTTGTTTTGAAATTTTAGGATCGTCTAAATTTTTCTTGTAATTTTTTTTTCTTTTGAACTATTTGAAAGTGAGTTGTTTGTATACTACCTACTCACCCACAGATACCCCAATCTTTTTCTTTTTTTTTTTCTTTTTGAATAATATAATAGTTTATTTTTACCCCATTTTGTGTTTTTTTCCATCTCAGTTGAAATCCCCTTGGGCATCCCATCACCAAATCACCTGTGTGTCATCACCATAGCCCAATCTCTGTTTCTTACAAACTAGAAATTTGCTTTTTGTCAGAAGGGGTCTATAGGTAGATTAGATTTGGTTGTAATATTCTTCAGTCTTCTTCAAACTGGAACAGTGCTTGACTCTTCTTACCAGTACATTTTGAAGATTATAGAAGATGCCGCAATTTGGCTTTTCTGATGTTTCTTCATGATCTGTCAGTTTGCAGGACTGTCCAAAAGGCATAGTGTGTTCTGTTTGCACTCTTTCAGTGAACCTGTGTTGATTGGTCCTGCATCCATGATGCCTTGTACTTCTATTCCTTGATTTAGTCTGCCTGCTGGGTTTCCCTTATAATGCTGTTCTTTCCCCCTTTGAAATTATAAGTTTGTATTTTTAGTCAAGAAGTATTATGAGTTGGAGGATATACTTTGATAATCTATAAACATACTATTTCTCATTGCATTTTAATATTCTGATGTTACCATTTATTGATTGATGTTTTTTAGCTGACTTAATTATTACTGTGATGATTGCCAAATGGAAATTTTTCTGTTTAGTCTTAATCACTTTTTCATATACAAAATTTAGGTCCTTGAGAGCAGGCTTTTAGAAGTGGCAAAAATAAATTTCTATAATTTGCAATATCTTAACTAGTGAGGTTCCTTAAATAAAATTATTCTTAAACAAACCAATGAATATTTTATTTAACTTGGTTTTTCAAAATTAGAACTCAAATAAATATAATTTGAAAAGATTTTTCCAATGACAAGTATTAACAAGTAGAATGACATAACGTAATATAGCAATCTAAAAATATAGATAATTAGAAGTACCCTTTATGTATAAAATATGAATTATTTTTCAACAGCAGTAATGTTCACTCCTGTTGACACTAGCTGTTCACTTACCAAAGTTACATGTATGTTGTAGCTGAGTTTAGTAAGAAAACTAAGTACCTTTTAATATATTAAAGTTCAAAAATGCCGTAACAGGATATTTTATATTCTCTATATGCCATATTTGTCATGTATGATTTTTCATGCTAAATATCTGCCATGATAGATTGAAATTTAGGATTTTTTTACTTATTACTGTCTTCTCTTTTTATTACTGTGGTCTCTTGATCTTTGTAGCAAACAATTATGCTAAATTTATTGTACTAGATTTAAAATACTCTCAGTCTAGTTTAGTTTTGTTTTGTTTTGTAATATGTAAAGCCATTTAATAGATCACTCTTATTCTGAAAAGACACTCATTAGCATTAACTTCCTGGCCAGGGGACCTACTGTACTTCAACTCCTCTAGTCCTTTGTTATGATGTTTAGTGTTGTGATTTTTAGTATTAATAACAGCTTAGGATGTCCTTGAAGGATCTTTTCAAAAGTTACAGTATTGCTGCAGCTTAGCAGAGGCACTTGAAGTGGAATGCTTAATGGTCAAACAGTCTGGCTCAGTAGTTTCTAGCTGTGTGATCTTTGGGAAGTCAGCTAACACTTCTCAACCTCAGCATTCACATTTACAGATTCATGACTAGATTTACTACTATTTTCTAATTGTTATTGTGGGGACTGTTTTTATTTATTCATTCTACAGTTGTTAGGGCCACCATGTGATATGCACTGTTTTACATTCTGGACCAATAAGCCACATGTCAGCAAAAGTAACTCAAAATCTGTGTGCTGTATATGTGATTATAGTAATTATGAGCCTGGATATGTTTTTTTATTAGTAATGTAGAGCCATAACATTTTTAGATTAGTGTTCCCTAAAGTATATTTCACAAATACTAATTTTTCTTATGGTAAGCAGTTGTTTGATTTATGATAAAATTACTATTTTTAGTTTCATCATATGTAAAGTAGAATTGAACATAGTGATTTTTTGTTTTTAGTGTGTACTTTTACTTTCCCCTTCTTTACACAAAAGTTTGCTTATGGACAATTTTTCACAGCATGCTCTGTTAATTAACCCAGTAATTTTTGAAGATATAAAGTTATGTGATAGTATGTGAAATAAACTAGTTTGGGTTCAAACTACTGACTCTAGTTATTTTACCTTGACAAGCCAAAAATGTTATGCATCTATATTGAGTATATAAAAGATGAGTTCTGCATTTTTCTTTTCGTCCTCTTCCTCTCTTTTGGCAGAGAGACTTTATTATTTAGTCAGCAAGAACTTTGGTAGACCCGGCATGACTCACATATTTATCCTGAAGCACAGCCATCCGGATGAGCAGCTTGATAGCCCCATACCCAGACTCACCTTTGTGACTCTGTGTGCATGGAAGAGAGCCAGAGGGAAGGGAGCTGTGTTATGGAGTGAGCTGTTCATGGCTGTTACTTTCACAGAATAAAGTGATTCTCAGTGAACATGAAGATGTTAAGTGGCCAAGATGAATAGGTGTCTGTAATAGGAAATGACATTTAAAAATGAGCTCTGGAGCATGTTTGTCAGCACAGTTCATCCACCTATCAATAAAGCAGCCAAGACGGGGGATTTTTATTCTGTTGAGGGTTACTGAAAGTAAAATAATATCAATAATCCATAAAAGCAATATATATATATAATATTTTATGGATATAACATACAGAAAATTCTACTTCTGAAATGCACTGAAACAGAAGTATTCAATAAATAATAAATTCATTCCTCAATTTTTCTTATAGTTCATGGCACAGTTTTTCCATTCTATATACTTGAAAGACCAGTATATACAGAGTGTACTCAAATAAAGCTTTTATGTAAAGATAAAGAATACACTACAGCAGGAGAAAGCAAACAGGGCAGGCATTCTGAAAGATGCCCCATTTGCAAACTCTCATGGACACTCTGTACACAAGGACTATGTTGAGTCTCCACCTACTTCAGAATTGAGTTGTGAGGAAGTGAGAGAAAAACTCTCA